ACTCAGTAAGTCCCTCCACTTCCTTATCTTACAATCAAGCGAGTAGCTCGACCGGTCAGCTGTTCAAGCAGGCTAACCACGAATGTACAGGTTCCGCGATATCGAGGCAAGAGTCCACGGTGATCAATATTGGTGATCCAGAGGGTCCTCCTCGTCTCGTACGTCACTCTTCTTGGCCATGGAAAAGAATCGCAGACCAGCTAACAGGCAGCATAGATCACATACTTGTCTTCATCCCAAGGGTTTGCATGGAACCCAGGTTTGTCCATCTACTTCCAAGCCGGATACCATGAGCATAGGTGCTAACATACTATCCTCAGAGATATTCCTTCCGTCGTACGTCGACTGCGATTACGTACCCCTCGAGAATCGTCGGGATCCTGTCCACGAAATACTTCTGAGCGACGAGGAAACGAAACAACTTCTCCCACAATAATTGCATGGCTATGTTCTGCTCGCCCCTGATCAAGGCGCTTGTGCTGCCTTGGCGAGAGGGGGGGCTGTTTCGAAAGGTCATTGGTGAGGATATCAGGGCAGGTATCCCACTTGTGGCAGAATACACAGTTTGTAAACTGTGACCAAGTACGATTGTCTTCATTATACGAAATACTCTAGCGCCGAGACCTTTACGCCTTGATAAGTGCGCAAGTCGTGGGCATGTGCCAGGTTGGATTGCTGGCAAGCAGAAATGCATGCCAAGTACGAGAGTTTGGAGGTGGCCTACACAGGATGCGATTCCGGCGACAGTTGCCACAGCCAGATGTGGCAACTCGCTCGTCACAACAGAAGATGACTGGGTCAGATCCCTACGAATCAACTGTCGCAAGGCAGACGGCGAGATCGGCTCCTCGCAATGTATTCGTCACATAAGTTGACTGCCAAGTCTGGCCTACACGCTTTCTCGTGTTGGCTGCAGGCAACAACAAGGCTAGAGCGACAGCAGTTGCATGTCTCGACGACAAGCAACTTGGTCAAATCTACGGCATCTCATATCTTGGTGGTGTGGGCAACTGGGTCAACATTTTAGCGGTCGGGCGTCAAAATGGGAAACAACTAGGTCTGGGCTGCAACTACCTTATCACCTGTCAAAATATCAGACCGCTCGGCCAATCGGGTGGGAACAATTTGTGTATGGTATCGCTCCTGCCTGTCTACCTACCTACCTTCCGGGCCGCGCTCCGAAGTCTCTCTCAACTGTAGGTATCTTCCTGGCTGGCGCAGTCCCTTTTTACCTATTGAATTATCTCTACTGCTGGGATATTTCGATTTAGATAGCTAACTCACTCTCGAACAATAACTTCTATATACCACTCTCTGACTAATTAGTGTTCTTGTTATTAGGTAGTGAACAATTTCTCATGAAGGAAATAAAAACTGTATTTTACAACTGCCTCTTCCGTTGTAAATTCCCGCGAAAATGACCGTTGAGGTAAGTTTTAGACCTCAAACTAGTAACGTAGACATTTAAGTTAACGCAAGAAAGCAACGATCAGATCATAGGTGTGCAGGTAGTGCAGGCTATGGACTTTGCTCGAAAAGGCATGTCTGTCGCATCTGAGCTATGCGGAAGATTGCACAGGTCCAGTTCCGGTTAGATTTCTTCTGGTTGCGTCGTCACTTCCTTGACGATGGGTGTCTCCAAGAGGTAGGTACCTTCCGTGGCAAGGAGAGGCCGATGTTAGCAGGCGAATACTCTGGTTAGGTAGCCCAAAATAAATACCCAATATACGATCACACTCTACCTTCAATTAGTACCTTAGCGCCCTATGCACAGCAAATCGAGAATGCAACCTTGAATTCTGTCGGCCGTAGCTTGTAGGGAATCTAGCATGATGTTTAAAACCCCACGCCGTTGCCCAACTGCTGTAACATGACATCACAGGGCCCAAGCTATCCCGTTTACGTAACCCACCCATGACTCAGCAGGCGCGGGAAGTAAACATGGACATGCCTCACATGTGAAGAACCACAACGGTGCACAGATCTCCAGCCCTTCGAACTCATTTGCCCCCCGAAGGTCCCACAGCCATGGCCTCCGAGTCGATCGTGTCGCAGGTCCAGCGCAAGATCGAACTGCAGAGCCCGGACGACCTGACCTACCTCATTACGAACGTGAGAAACGCCGCCGCAGCGCGGCTAAACGAGGCTTTCCCACACCTCGAGGGCGACGATGGAGAGGACGACCTGAGAAACCAGATCGAAGCACTCGTCAATGAGGTACGTCAGGCAGCACAATCCAATTATGCAAATAGTTGTCGCGGGTTTCCTCACCGCTGGTCTGCCAATTCAGAAAAAAAAAAAAAAAAAGACTAACGTTGCTTTACCTTACCCCGCGGGCAGTATATAAACAAGACGTTCAAGCTAGCCGCGCCGAACCTGACAATCAATGGCCTCCCCGTCGCTCCGAACGACTTCCTCGCCGACGGAGGTCCCGTCACGCCGGATACCGCGTACGAGCCCTTTGACGCGCGGAAGCGACAGCGCGTGGCCGACCTCATCACGCAGGAGGAGAAGCTCCTCGAGGACGTCGCCTCGCTCAAACGCGCCGTGCCAGCCAAGGCCGCCGCCGAGCATGTGGATCGTCTGCGCGAAGGGGTGAAGCGCGATGAGGAGCTAGCGGCGGCTAGGATTGCCCTGGGGTCTATGGAGGAGGAGGCAGCTCTCCAAGGCGTGGGTCGCTTGGAAAGGCAGCAGCACGTCGAGTCGAGCTTTAATGGTGCGGTGGAGACGCTCGAGAGGTTAAAGACAGACATGTCGACGGTGGTGGCGAAGATGGAGAGGGCCAGGGTGGCGGGTGAGTATGTTGTCAACGACAAGCGATGAACGAGACGCGGAATAATCACGACAAAATTATGAGGAAGGGAAAATAGGATATCACATGGGCATGGGCGGGGTTCGGCGTCACAGCGATTTGAAGGGCAGAGCATTTTTCGTCTTCTTGTTTTTCTGGAGGGACTTCTATGGCGAATCTAAATATGGCGTTATCTCGGCTGAGAAACATCAACTCTAACCGCATCAACAATATGTTCCTACACATCTCATATCTCCATGTCTCATGAACTTCAGACGGCCATGGCCCGGATGCAATTACCTCGGAGCTAGAATGCAACTTGCTTAGGAGGCTATTCTCCGGCAGGCGTCTTCCTGCATATTCTAAAACTGAACAAACCCATCCATTCACTACCAAACTCGACTTCCATGGTACTCGCTTCGCCTAACAAAAAGGGGGTAACACACCAAACCACCTACTCTTTTTTGTTTTTTTTCCGATCTATAATAATCTTAGAAGAACAACCACTCTATCCCAAGGATGAGAACCAAGGTACCCAAACTGTTTAAGCGGCAGCAGGCTGCTTGGCCTCCTCCCCAGCAGCGACAACCTCAGGAGCAGCGGGAGTTGCGGTACCAGTAGCCACCTCAGGCGTCTCAGTGTTGGAGGGAGTGTTGTCGATGGTAGTGTCGGCGGCCTTCTTCTCCCACTTGGCGGGCCTGGCCCACTGGGGGTCGTGCCAGGGGCCGGCATCGCTGTTCACGCAGCCTCCAGGGCACTCACAAGTACCGCCAAAAGCCTTTGGCAGGTTCTCGGGAGGAACTTGCTTGAGAAGCTCGTCCTTATAGCCACCACCAAGAATGCTAATCTTCTTGACAGTGACAGGATCGAGCCAGCCCTTCATGATACTCCAAACAGTGGAGAAGCCCCAAGGCGCGTTGATCAGGTACAGCTTGCCAAGACGCTCAGGGTAGTAGTTCTGGGAGAGGCCAGAGGCCTGGCTGACATAGGTGTAGACCTGGGGGATCTTGCCGATACTGACACCCTTGAGATCCATGATGGTGCAGCATGTCTCGAGTAAGTGGCCGGCCTTGCGAGAGCAGGCGGTCAGACGAGGGTCCGCAAGACGCTCATACTCGACGGCAAGGTTGTTCAGCATGCGCTCGGAAGTGGTGATCTTGTACATGGCGGTCAAGTCAATGCCGCCAAAGGTTTCGATGTAAATGGGGCGACCATCCTATTTCAGCGGTCAGCGGGACACGTATGTCAAACATGCGGCCAGGTGGTCTGATAGAGCAATCTTTTCTCACCTTGTCGATCTTGTGATAGAATTGCTCATAGTACTTGTGCAGTTCGGCCTTCTCAGGGTAATCCCAGGTAGGCACGAGCTCGTCAAGCTTGATCTCCTTCCGCCACTTCTCAGTGTCGAGGAACCTATAGTATATGGTTAAGGGGCTGTATTCGACGGCATTTCGTCAGGAGAAAAGTCCTTACATTTGCTTCGACAAGTTCACATCGAACTTTCGTGCACGTAAAAATCGTAGCTATCAAAATATCATCAAGTCAGCATCTGTTTTGGTAACGTCATCACTTCAACCCCACATTGAACAGTGTGTCAATACCAAAGTCAGAGTATCAAGACGGTCGGTGCAGCCTTCAGCCTCCAGCATCATTCGCAACTGCTCGACCTGAGCAATTTGTTCCTTCGTCAGAAAGCCGGCATGGCCATTTTGGGCCTCCGGTGCTTCGTAAGGGAAGTCGTAGTCGTCGTACTTGGCGTTCAGCTCCATGGTGGGGTGTTGGAGGAGTGTTGACGGTGAGAAAATGTTTTTTAGGATTAAGGAGTGCAAGGCGAGGAAGTATCGGGGAGGGAGATAGTGTAATGAAGTCGAGAAGTCGGATGCCCGCCTGCGAAATTAAAAAGGAAGAAAGTCCAGAATCTAGGGGTCAAGCGGTTTGATGGCTTTCTCCAGCTTCTGTTGAACCTGGTCGATCTGCCAATAATCCAGTGGGACCCAACTGGGGTGTGTTTACAAGCTATCGTCGAAATGGAGCGCTGGCTCAAGCCAACGTACATGTGACAGATCACGTGTAGATAGTGGCCTCCGGTTTCTTATCAGGGCGGGCAGCTTTCACAATCGAGTTCAAAGCGACGTCGAAGCTGGGCCCAGAATTCTTGCCGCAGACCACCAGAGTACCAGCTGGCTCGAATGGCTCCAAGTATATCACGATGAGGTCCTCCCTCCCGCGGATTGCCCTCAATGTCGGCCGTCAGATACACACCTCCATGAGGGGGCCCCGCCCTTGCCGTTCCTTCCACCTCACAACCGCCAACAACTTGCCCCGAAAGCGACACTTCTTTACGTCCAACCCATATTTGTCACAATCGAGTGCAGATTCCAAACCGGAAGCAGAGAATTGGGGCAAAGACAGGTCGTCTCCCTCCACTCCGCAGCCCAAAAGGAAAACCACACGTGCAACCAATGCAAAGAACTCGTTGCGACGAGTCGCGATCATTGCGCAGCATCCCAAGCGAAGCAGCGCCGATGGAGTGCCAGAGCCAATTGCTGAGACAGTCGATCCTACGAACCAAATCAGTGCGACCTGTGTAGCCGAAGGTTTCAAGATGCCCATGGTTCTGGATATTCTCAGGTCTCATGGCTTCTCGATCAACCCGGATGATATGGAGTTCGATACCAACGAGGTCCTCCACGCGCGGGGCGTCAATGGCGGCGACATCTTCGTGTTTCCGTCCGGAACGATCGTAACATGGGCGCTGCCACCCGACGTCGTCACCAAACAACTCCTCCGAGCCGCTGAAGATCCGCATCCGGCCGATGAGCGAGAGGTGGAGGACCTCGAGTTCACGTCGGACAACACCAAGGAAACCAGTCTGCTAAAGGGCGACGTCGTTGTCCTCGGAACAAGGAGGGAGCATACGGACGGGGACAGGTTAGACACTACACTGGCCAAGGTTGCCTTCTCCTCTGGCCTGGCTCGCAGCAGCAAGCTGGCTGTGCTTGAGACCTCCCTCACCTCGTACTTTGAGAGCACGCGCAATATCCCCGCTCTACTGTCACAAGGTTCCGGCGTTCCTTATGGCCGTCGGTTCATTCTTCAAAAGACAGGCGAGCTTCTCAGCCTCCGGGCACGCCTGAATCATTACTCTGAGCTTACCGACTCCCTACCTGATATTTTATGGGACAGCCGCTCCGAGCTTGGTCTGGAGGGCTATTACGAGCAGGTTGGACGTGCCCTGGATGTCAATGTTCGCATCCGAACTCTCAATCAAAAGATGGATTATGCGCAAGAAATTGCAAGCATCCTCAGAGAGATGTCAAGCGAGCAGCATGGAACCCGTCTGGAGGTGATCATCATTCTTCTCATTGCGGTTGAGGTCATATTCGAACTAAGGAAAATATTCCTTGAGTGGGTACAAGAGAGAGAAATCACTCAGGAACTCGCCAAGTCTGTATAAAACATTTAGAAGGGCATTATAGACATGGTACCGATCTAGAGCCTGAGAATTGCCCCGATGTTGTACGAGTAGCTTTGGAATTGTGCGATAGAAGGACTTTGATACCCAGAAATTTTTGTACATTAGTTTGCTAAGCACGAGATGAACGCAGCTCTGGATTCTATACCATTTCCCTTTGTATACTGTCTGTCCAAGTGATGAAATGTTCCTCCTGAGTCAACCGACTCTTGCGGTTCGGGGTGTCAGCCGACAGAGCCTACCAAAGGGAAAAAAAGAAGACTCATATTATGTTACATGATAAATCCTTTAATCGGTCCGCAAAAAGCCTCCATTCGAATGCTCTTTTCCCAGTCTTGGGTTATCCTCACCTGCCCTGAAATTTTTCGTCTCCAATATCCTTTCCAATCATCTTGACAATGACTGCTTCTTTCCGCGACTTGAATGCAAAGGGTGTCATTTGTGGTGACTTCATGGTTCCAATCTCGCCCTGCGCAGATTTTGATTTGTCTGGTCGCTGGAGACCATATACCAATCCTGCTCTTTGTGCCAATGAAAAGCATCAGGGTCCAAAAGGCTCCTCAGAGGCTCTTCCCCCTTCCAACCAACGCACCCCATTGCTCCAGAAGAAGAGAAAGAGTCAAGTTAAAACGAGAGAAGCAACAACTCCTGATCCCCACCGCTTCGGAACGCCATGTTAAAAACCATCGCGGTACTCCCAACAAAATAAGAAAGTGTCAAATAAAATTAAGAAGAAGGCTTGCGCTGCTGTTGCTGTAGTCCAGGTATCGGTGGCACAGGAACAGGTGTGACTTTATGAGGTGGTACATGGACGGATCCAGGGGTACCATTGATGTTATGGCGCTGTCCAGTTGGAGTCTGCGGCTTAGACTGATTGTTCATACTGGCCCGAACTGCAGCCATTCTGTTGACGTCAAGACTTCCGCCGAGGCCAATGCCAGCCAACCCAGATACGCCTGGTTGAGCGATCTTGTCAGTAAACATGGCTGAACGCTCCTGGGCAGCTACTCGGGCTTTTGCCTGCTCCAGCATCCGCTGCTGTTGTGCTTCAGGCATAACCGTGTGGTAGCCAGTCAATGATCCTGCTGAATGTTGCTGCTGCGGAGGGGCGGGGGTCGAGTTGGGCGGGAACCTATTGGGCTGTCCACCCATGGGTTGAGTAGGCGTGCCGTATCGTTGAGCCTGTTGCATATTGGGCGATGGGCTAAATGGCTGCCTTTGAGATACTTGTGGCGACATTGTGCGCTGCTGCTGTGGCATCACCGTTCCGTTGACATAGTTACCAAAATGAGGTTGGGCAGGTGTGCTGCCCTGTTGCGGGTAGCCTTGGTAATGCGAGAATCGTGGTTGCGGAGCACTCTGCGGAGGGACGTGACTAAACGCCGGCCGCTGTTGACTTGCAAACTGAGGCATGTTCTGATGTCCATATGGAGTTTGCGCCTTAGCCAGTTGAGTCGCGTATTGCGCGTTGATTCCATTCCTTTGGGTATACTGGTTCGGCTGGGGAGGGCGGGGCTGCCCAAGAGATGCTGGCGTGGAACTGCGAGGCTGTTGGTAGTTCTGTTGCTGGTAGTTCTGGAAGTTGGGAGTGGCAGCTTGACGATAATACTGCTGAGCTTGGGCCTGCGCTGGCGTTCGTGTTGGCGTTCCGTACTGAAGATTCTGCTGTTGGTAGTGGCCTGGATACGATACACTTGGTGTACGTTGAGGTGCTGGTCGTGGTGCGGATTGGGCCGCCTGCTGTTGAGCCCGTAATCGAGCCTGCAGCCCAGCCTCATCCTCCTCCATGACACCCTTGTACTGGTCAGACGAGACCCGAACCTTTGTACTGATGAGCAAGTCATCAAGACGATCGCCATTTAACTTTGCAACGGCATATGGAGGCAACGTCTTCACAATAAGGGCAAGCTGAGCCTTGAGCATCTGATACGTCTCATGCTCCGCCTCTGACGGTTGGGGAGCAGCCGTTGCCAACATGTCGCCCGTAACAGGGTCGCTGGTCTGGCGATTCTGGGAGTTCGGGAGTGTAAGATTGCGAATGCGCTGGTAAGAGGCCAGTGTCTCAATCAGGTCCGAGACTTCGTCGAGGATTTCATCGGCTTCCTTGTCTGCTTCATCCTGCTTTGATCCCATTGCATCCTCTAAAGAAGGGTCAACATTGGTATCATCCCAGTTGTCGATTGCATCTTGAATGGCCTCTTCATCGATTTCCACAGCTTCTTCATCCTGGTCCGTCTTAATACCATTAGCGCGGTCGAGGTACTCAACCTCAATCATGTTGGAAAAGCTGCGTCGACCAGATCGTTGCCACCAAATACGCCCAGCTATATTAGACGGCACAACAGCCGCGGAATCATCTTTGCAAGGGGCAAAACTTGAAAACGCACCACGGAAAAGAGATTCCATTTCGGATAGCTCCAACTCCGAGGTCGATGGCTTCTTCCCAGCAAGACTTTGCGCTCTTTCGTGTTGCCTTGTCTTGGAAGCTGAAGATGGGGTGGCATGGCTATAGTCAAGATAATGACCAGCTGATAGCTTTGTGCTAAAATAGCTTGCTCCTCGTTGTTGCGATTTATCCGTGAGGCTGGGATGATAGAAATCAAGAGCGTTGCCTCTGGCTTGTGTTTTAGGTTGCTTCGGCGGCTGAAGAGGGAGCAGAGTCCGGGAGGGTGCGAACAAATCACCTAGTGTCTGCGCATTCTCTTGCTGCTCGGATGGGAAGATCTTGGTCATCGAGACACCAACAGGAAGGTTGTATTCGGAGAGGTCCAGGTCATGAGATGAAGGAAGACTTGAAAATAGACGCCTCTCTTGTGGTGCGAATCCAACTAATGAAAGCACCGTCTGGGTCTTCTCAAACTCGTCCTGTTGTGTCTCATCGTTGAAAGAATCAGGCTGCGATGTCCGGGGATAGGCTTGCTCGCGAGATAGAAGGCTCAGAGCCCTATTCTTAAATTTCTTGATTTGCGCAGCTGCCTTGATCTGGTCAGAGGAATCGGGCATCTTCGAGGCCGCGGCTTCAGATTCAGCAAGAGCCGACTTTATCGCCACGCTGACATCGGCCACAAGGTCATCCAAATGTTCGTAGGCACTTGCGGCAACCTTGTCAGAAATGGTGACCAACTCGGCTGGCTCTGACGATTTTTGGCGTTTGGCTTCGGGCTCATCGCTGGTAATTGGGTCCTGGAGCGGCCGTTTCAGGATCGGAGGCTCGACATCGAAACTGCAGAAGAGGTTAGCTGGGCTGGCAGCGACCTTTGACGAAAGTGCCAGAAGAGGGGAAATGCAATGGGGGCAGATTAGTCGCGCCATCGGAAAGGTAGCACATACGATTGCAATACTTCGAAGCATGATTGGATGAGTTTTCGCTGGTCCCGTGGCTTTTCATTGGCATCGGCGGATTTGCGATCTTGGACGACGCCTTCCATATCGTCTCCCTCGTCCTCGTCGTCGCGTTTTCTTTTACCTATTGCGCCGACGAGTTTGATCTCGTGATTTTCATGGTGATGGATGCCGTTGGGCTCCATCGCTGGTTGTTGCGACATGATTGACATCTCTTACCCCAGGGCCGTCGCTAGTGGATGGATTGATGATGGCGGGTTTGGCTGGTCGGCCGCGCCTTGTCGCGATAGACGCGGTGCGGTGCAGCGGGCCTCAGGCGTATGGTGCAACGCCAAAAATTCTTTGTCCAGATTGCACCCAGATCTAAGCAGGCTACATCCAGATCAACGCCTCGATGCAACAAGGAGTGTCGGAACACTCGAGGTGAAAAGGTGGTGAAAGGCCGGATTTTCTCAGCCTCCAGATCAGAACGACCCAAAAGAGTGCAATGGAGGGAACGGCTTGCTCGCAGACAGGGAAGAATGTGTCTTGATCGCCAAAAGTCACTACCTCTCTCTAGGTACCCGGTTGCTAGGCTAAGGCCATTTCGGGGCAAGTCTGATTGGTATGCACGTGATCTTCTACCAACCGCCTGTCAGTTAGCGTGTCTCTCGCCTGGAGAAAGTGAGGCAGCTAGCCAACTTTCCCATTGGATGAAAAAGATGCAAACTTGAATTCTGAGGCTGTCTAACACGGACGCGTTATGGATTTTATAGGTGCATTTGTAGGGAAGTTCTTGTTTGATGAACCTCAAGTATATTTCTTGTGGATACATTGGTTCTTGTACTGTACCCGCTATCGTGAAATGACACCAACAATTATACTGCCTAATCTGCTATTCAATCTAGCCCATCACCATTCAACAATACCCATGACAACCGTGTAATTATCATGTTGCCTGTAACAAGACTGCACACACAAGAAAAAAAGGACCAACAAGAAGGTATTCCTCGCTCTTCGGCCACGTCCGATCTAAACCGCTATATCATCAAAGACGGGACCAAAAATTCAGGCATTCAGATACAGGTGAGGTTATTTATTTAGCCTTGGCCAGACCGACGGCACCCTTGCCAAGGTGGTAGACAGAGTAGTAACGGCGCAAGAAAGCATCACCGAGAATGGCCAAGGGACCAGTGGGGGCAGGGAAGTCCATTCCCTGGAAGGTGGAAATGCAGCTACCCGAAACCTCCAGGATATAGTCAGAAGCAGGCAGGCTGTACTTGGAACCAGCGAGGTCAAAGGTGATGTCAGGAAGCGACTGCTTCTTAGAGCAATCAATGGTGTACTGGCCGTTGTATCCCTTCTTGGCTCCGATTTGAGCATTCAGCATCTCGGCGAGAGAGCTGGGCAGGATGTTGAGAGAAGTACCGGTGTCGAGAATAACACCGGTGTCATCAAGCTCAGCCACCTCGTCGCCAAGGGCGATAGAATCAAGGTCAACCTCCCAGTAGGCCTTGCGGCGCAGGGGAATATACTCAATCTCGCCCTCGTAGTGGCTCTTGTCAACACCTCCGAAGACGGCCTCCGAGCCTTCATCGGTCGAGCTCAGGTAGAATGCAAAGAGAGGCTCGTCGATGAGCTTCTGGTTGATCAACTGGTAG